TTGACTGATAGATATGGAACAAAACTAAACCGTCAGGCGTGCCAAATATATTTTTGACGCCGAGTGGTGTATGTAAAATTCCAAAATCCCCAAATGAGGATCGTGGTAGCTAATGGGTTAATCCTTAACGCTCCAAGTGTGCCTCTTAGGCACCATCGATGTGCGACCCAATGAATGATTCATCCCAATTAATGTCTTAAAAAATTCCACACGTTACTCAATTATAATTAATATAAATATTGAAATAAAAATTATATTACTCCTGAGACGAAAAAAGATTGTTTTGAATCTAAAACACACGATGACACTTCCGCGTCCTTGTACTCCTATTTAACCCTTTGCACTCGACGATTCTTTATCTAAAAAAGGATAGGAGTTCAAAGATTTTCTACTAAATAAAACTGATGATATTTTTCTTAGAAGTAAATGAAGAATCTATAATAATTAACACGTAGAATTATTTAACTTCGATATCTCGCACACTGTTACATTATTTTAAATTTGATATATTAATTAACCCTTTACACTCGACGACTTTTTGACTAGAGAAGAGTAGAAAATCAAAGATTCTTTACTAAAAAACTGACGATACTTTTCTGACCAGTAAATAAAGAATTGTAGAATTATTTGACTTCGATACCTTGCACACTGTTACATTACATTAAATTTGATATATTAATTAACATCTATCTTCCAAATTTTATGAAATGGTGACTGAAGCTCACCTCTCGAGTGCAGAGGGTTAATATTATTCTTTACACGTCATTGTAGCATTTAAAATCTGACACTTAAAAACTTGCAGATCGAAATCGAATAGAATAAATTGAAGTTGCCTTTCGATATTCACAATTAAAAGTCGGAACGTTAAGGATTAACCCTTTATACTCGAGAGATGATCTTCAGTCACTATTTCATAAAATTTGGAAGATAGATATTAATTAATATACCAAATTTAAGATAATATAACGGTGTACGAGCTATCGAAATCAAATAATTCTACGTGTTAATTATTATACGATTTCTTATTTATTACTGAAAGAAATATCGCCAGCTTTATAACAGAAAATCTTTGAACTCCTACTCATCTTTGGCCAAAAGATCGTCGAGTGCAAAGGGTTAATATATCAAATTTAATGTAACATAACAGTGTGCGGGGTATCGAGATCAAATAATTTTACAATTCTATTATACAATTCTTTATTTACTACTCAAAAAGGTATCGTCAAATTTCAGTAGAGAATCTTTGAATTTCTACTCTGCTCTAGCCAAAAAATCTTCGAGTGCACAGGGTTAATCTTACAATACCACCCTATCTTAAAAACGAAGTTTGCGGAATATTTCATGGATTTTACAAATGAAGGAACAGGATCAACCTCGAATAAGATACGAAACGCGATTTTGACACTTCCTCCAGCTCCCACGCTTCACCCTCTCAATATGCAACACGTAGCAAACCCTCTTCGCCCCAATCGTCCACTCCGAAGCGAGGAGAAAATTCATCACCGAAGAAGAATTAACCACCCCTGTTGATAAACCGTGGCAAAGGAACCCGAGCCAACGAGTACGAGATCCGCGATACGAGCGAGAAGAGAAGGACGAAGAAAGCGAAGATCGATCTGGTAAATAGGAGGAAAGGAAATTAATTGGAGCAACAAGAGGATTCGCAGGCCGGCGGGGGGAAGGGGACGAAAGGGGCTGAGATACGGCCGCAGTTGCGGATTTTTCAGATTATCGGCTGGCTCGCAACGTACGGTTAGGTCTCGCGATGCGCGGCACCATCGAGCATAAATCCGCTGATACGACGGGCAGGGATTTTTGCCCCGGCGACGAGGGAGAGGCTGGAGCTAGTTCAAAAGATGCCAGATAATGCGCGTGGTGTAGGTGCGAGGCTCGACGCTGCAGTTGCAGCTGCTGTTGCCGCAGAATCGCCGCAGGGGACGATCGGCTGGACGTGACCGGCCGATCCCGAACCCTGGATCACGTTCGACCAGCGTCGAATTTTCTACGCTCGGGCCTCGAGCGTCTCGTGAGCGGACTCGTACTACCAACAGCACGAAGAAATGCGAATATTTCTTCGCTTCGCGATTCAGGCTACGTTTTTACGACGCTGTTGCTGGGAATAGTAAAGAAGGGAGGAATTGGTAATGAGCGACGGAATTATTGACCTATGGCGGGTAACGAATGATTTATGACGTATAAATCGTACTTTTCGTTTTCGCAGATCGAGGTCTCGCTTTCTCACGAGCTGATTATTTTTTTATTTATTAACACTCTGTTGAAATTTTACACACAGAAACTATGTCATATCACCGGCTATTACTTTGTGATCTAATCTATATCGCCCTGGGTTTCATTAATTCAAATAGATAATGCAAGTGCAATGACGAGTTAACTCGTCATCGGTCAACATCGTTTGGGCAGGAAAAGATGAGTTAACCCATTCGAGACCGATTGCACACCGTGTGTGCAATTCATTTCCGAGGCTTTAAGACCGGTTGTACACCGTGTGTGTGTAATAATAATAATAAGTATTTATCAATTATTCTGAGTAAAGTAGTAAGACTTTTTTGGGATTAACCCTTTGCACTCGACGATTTTTTCGTTACAGAAAAATAGTAATTCGAAGACTTTCTGTCATAGAGTCGACGATATTTTTAAAATGGTAAATGAGGAATCATATGCAAATTAAGACAGAATTATTCTTCTTCGACATTCCACGTATCGATAGGTAATTTTAAATTTGATATACTAATTAACGTCGATTTTTAGAATCTGATTAAGTATCTGTAAAGTATAGAAAAACAAAATTTGGTATTGGTTTTTTTGCGTACCAAAAAAAAAAACAAAACCTTTTATTCGGATTTTCGATCAGTGTATTATTTCCTAAAAATGTATTAACAAATTATATTTTCTTTTTCATTACCGAGTTACATTACTTTATTACCTTTAGACATTTTTCTAAAAATTTATTTCTCGTTTATATTATTTTCCTCATTATTCAACTTATTTTCATGACTTTTTACTATTTCTTACAAATTTTCTTTGCATTATATTCTGTTCTTCATTATTGAAAGCAAAATAACGATTTTATATTATCTAACTATGTTTGAAATAAATGTTTATCAATTTTAATGATGTATTTTTATTTTACTTTACATTACAAACACATGGTGTTCAATCCGTTCCTCGCAATAAAAATTTTCTGAGGAGCAAGCTGTACGCACACTGTGTGCAATAATTTTATTTATGCGAATTCACTTACGAATTGGGTGATTTCCATAGTAAGCAAGTTTCTTTTATTAAAAATGAACGATATAAAGAAAATAAAATTTCGTTCCTGAGGACCGTGGTTGAAAAGAATCGCAGTCTCGAATGGGTTAACTCGTCACCGGTCAACGATGAGTTAAGGTAAGAATTATGGGGAAAAACTAAATTTTGGTGGTTTGAACTAAACGAGTATATATTTTCGTAGAAATTAATACGGCAGCGAGGCCTGGCAAGGGACTGAACTGTCCCTAACGCCGCTGAAGAAGATTATAACGATGCTGGCCCAGGCTACACACTCATCACCGTTGCACTTCGACAATTAATTTTCTTCTTTCTTCGCAAATGTGATAAATAATTTTAATGGCCGCAAGAAAGAAAAATCTGGATTCGATAAGAGTTCCTCTTCATTTCGCGCCATTTCGGGGCACATTTTAAGAAGCCTCTCGCAGCGCCTAGTTTCCCAATTCGCCCGGGGGGCAGTGTGACACGGGTCCTCGGGACTTTAACATCCCGTGGAAACCAGGGGATAAATATTTGCGGTGGAACGATGAGCGAAGAGACCAAAAATTCGTAAGAACGGTTCGTCTTTTTCCGCAAGCTCTCTCCGACTCGATTAATCGTTTTACCGCGGCCAACTTCGAGCGAAGCGAGACGAAACGAGGCACTGGTGCCCATTTCAACGTGACTAGACTTACAAAACCACACCTACCTCGTTACTTATTTGCCAACCTGCTCCAACAATTAAGGAAATACTGCTCTCCATTTTTGCTTCTTTCCTGCGATTCGAGTCCAAGTCGAATAACGCTAATTTGGCAAGGATACAGCGTAGTGAAACAACGATGACTTTATCGTTAAACGACGATAACTAGGCTATTAAAGAAACGTCGATGAACTATCTTGGAAGATTGACAATCAAAAGTTTGAAAGCCAAGTGCCGGCAATTTTATTAACATATTTCCCGTCGAAAACTTCCAAGAAGTTTGTATCCAAGCGAAATTAATTTCCCTACTTTTACTTTCCAACGAACCGGCGGTCAACGACTTGAACGACGCTAAGCCATCACCCTGCTCATCGACCGCGGCAGACAACTAAATCCTCCTGACCTGAACCATCATTACGCGGCCGAGTTTCCCAATAATTTACAGGGAGAAAACATTTTTATCGTCGACGAGATCCTCGTGTCTAGTCGAATGCTCGAAATCGTCGCGAAATCGTGGCGCAAGGTGCAATAAACCACAGGAAATTGCTCTTTACCGATGCGACCCCTCTTTCGCTGTCCGCAGAAAAGCTCATTAGCCGGCGACTCGGTTTCACCAGCCCCCCGACGCAGGGACACTCGCGCGCCACCGGTATTCGATTTAATCAGAGGGCGAGATCGACGAAAACACGGTCGTTTTCTTTGTGTCGCGCCCGTGTTCCCGGGAAGAAATAACACGCCACAATCTCGCGGGATGAAACGTCTCTTTTGTTCACGCTGTCCCGTCCGTTTATTCACGAAACACGAAATAGAGGAGGGTGAAACGTTGGAAAAACTGTCCTACATACGGGACAAGGGCACCGTGGGTGGACGTGGACGGACGTCCACGAAGCACGAACAAAGAAGCAAGTTGGGCGTTTTGCTACGAAGGAAACACGTTTGTTAGGGCGACGCGACGTCATGACCACGGAAATTGCATCGCGATGGAACGATCGACGTCCACTTTCGCAAGGGTGGTTATGAAAAGATAGCTCACCTTCCAGATTTGCCATCGAGAACCTATAGCTGTCGATCCTCGGCGTGTTGATGTCCGAGTTGAAAGGCCTGAGGGTCGCTGAGCTCACATTGTCCAGACCCTGAAACATGAATTTCAGTTGTAGCGTTAGAGGCTGTTGGAAGGAAATATACGGCGAATTTTATAGTCCCCTAGCAGTGTGTTGCAATATTTTCTGTACCTGTAGAAAGCGTGGAAAGAAAATTATTTCAATCGAGTTCCCTTTTTACTCCGATGCAAGATAAAACACGCTTGCCAACTGGGCAGGAAATAAAAGAAGCGTTATACCGTTCGAAGCCGTACAACAGCACACGGATCGTACGATCTATCAATCAAACGAGCCGGCAACTACGAGTATACCTATCAGCGGAACAGTAAAACTCCCATTGGGAGCATTCGCTTCGGCCGAGAGGTATCACCGAGCATTCACCGTTCGCCAGGAAATAGTTAATCCGAAGGAAGGGTAGCCAAAGTTCTCTGGCCGCCCGTGCTCAGCTTTCAGGCGCGGTTGCCGCAGAAATAAATCATTTACCACCCCTGAAACTGTGTCGATAACCGAGCACGTACCACGAAGGAAACACCACGACGAATCTCCGGGAACAGAGAGGCGCGAACGCGAGCTGAATTCGCCGTTCCTCACGCGCTGTCGACATCCCTTGCCGCGACACGGTCGATCGGTAATCCGCTCGAGATCCTTTTACGGCCACGGCTGGAAATGCGATTTACGCGAAACCGTGGAGACGCTCACCCAATTTCCTTCGACGCTGCCGCGTCTCTCTGCGATCAATTCCGGGGGGCTGTTGAACGCGACGAAATTCCGGCCGGCGAGAGGTTGCAGGGGACGGAAGGAAGAGCGAAACAGGATTCGCCGCGAGTAAAATACAGCGCGAGTTGTGCAGGGAGAAGCTCGGAGAAGGGAAACCTGGAAGACTTCCAGGCCGCTCGATTGTTTTGCAGGCGCGTGCATGCAATGATAACGACGAAGACGACTCCGGGTACTGTCTGTGTAGCCTAGCCCGGAGGTGGCGAAACTTGCCTCTTAAAGGGATGTTTGCGCAGAGGAAGTTTGTACTTCCTTTGCAGCGGCCGTTGTCGAGGATCTAGCAGCTTTCCTTTCGATCGCGTTTCCAGTCGAGAGGCGCAGAGACTGACTTGCAAATTCATCGCGGAAATAATAACAGATGACACTGCGAGCGATCGTTACTTTGTTATTCTCGCGAATATCGCTTTGGAAAACTAGGTTACCCGTATGGAAGATCCACCTGAACAGGACTAGAAGAATCTTCTATGGAAATTCTATTCAATCCGCATAGTCGGCTCAAAATACACGTCAAGATCGACAGCATCGTCACCTGGACGCTAAGGAGAGCAATTTCAAAGTCGTATCTAGGTGAACCTACACTCCACGACGTGGATCGTTAGGTTACTCCATTGGCAGATCCACCAGATTCCGTTACAAAGAATCTTTCATGGAATTCTATTCAATCCGTATCGTCAGCTGAAAAACCTCGTCAAGACTGATAACATCGTCACCTGGACGTAAAGGAGAGCAATTCCAAAGTCGTAGCTAGGTGAGTCTGTGTTCCACGACGTGGATTGTTAAGATACTTGGATGGAAGATTCACCTAATCCCGTCAGAAAGAATCTTTCAAAAATATCCTATTTAATCTACATCGTCAGCTAAAAATCCACGCGAAGATCGACAACATCGTCACCTGGACGTTAAGAAGACCAATTCCAAAGTCGAATCCAAGTGACTCTGTACTTCAGAACGTGGATCATCAACTTACTCCATTGGAAGATCCACCTGATTCTGTTAGAAAGAATCTTCCAAGGAAATTCTATTCGATCTACGTCATCAGCACAAAATCCACGTGAAGACCGACAGCATAAGCACCTGGACGTTAAGAAGAGCAATTCCAAAGTCGAATCCAAGTGACTCTGTACTTCAGAACGTGGTTCATTAAGTTACTACATTGGAAGATCCACCAGATTCTGTCAGAAAGATTCTTCCATGGAAATCCTATTCGATCTACGTCATCAGCACAAAATCCACGTGAAGACCGACAGCATAAGCACCTGGACGTTAAGAAGAGCAATTCCAAAGTCGAATCCAAGTGACTCTGTACTTCAGAACGTGGTTCATTAAGTTACTACATTGGAAGATCCACCAGATTCTGTCAGAAAGATTCTTCCATGGAAATCCTATTCGATCTACGTCATCAGCACAAAATCCACGTGAAGACCGACAGCATAAGCACCTGGACGTTAAGAAGAGCAATTCCAAAGTCGAATCCAAGTGACTCTGTACTTCAGAACGTGGTTCATTAAGTTACTACATTGGAAGATCCACCAGATTCTGTCAGAAAGATTCTTCCATGGAAATCCTATTCGATCTACGTCATCAGCACAAAATCCACGTGAAGACCGACAGCATAAGCACCTGGACGTTAAGAAGAGCAATTCCAAAGTCGAATCCAAGTGACTCTGTACTTCAGAACGTGGTTCATTAAGTTACTACATTGGAAGATCCACCAGATTCTGTCAGAAAGATTCTTCCATGGAAATCCTATTCGATCTACGTCATCAGCACAAAATCCACGTGAAGACCGACAGCATAAACACCTGGATAGTGAAGACAGCAATTCCAAAGTCGCGTTCGGTGACTCTATACTCCGGAACGTGGATCGTTAAGTTACTCGACTGCAAGATCCACCTGATCCCGTCAAAAAGAATCTGCCATTAATCCTGTTCTATCTACATCGTCGGCTCGAAATCCACGTGAAGGCCAATAACATCGTCACCTGGACGTTGAGAAGAGCAATTCGAAAATCGCGTGAAGATGAGCTTATACGTATATTCCGCGACATGGATCGTTGTTGGGAAAAACTGTGCTCGCCGAGAAAGAGGTCCAGCAAGCGCTTCTCTCGCGGTGGCGCACAGCCAGCGGACTTCCGCGTTTTGAGCCATTAGCCGTAAATAATGCGAGAACCGAGTTGCCCGCTCGGCCGTGTATGTACATGCGGCGTTCTACGGCGGTTAATCAAGCAACAGCTCCACACGGTGAACACACAATGCCTTCGGCTTCGTCACACGTGCGCTCCTACACGGACACGGTGGTACACGCTCGCGCGCAAACACACGAGGCGAAACGTTCGAAGCGGATAGGAGAAAACTGGGCTCGCCGTGTGTACCCCGTGTACACGTTTCGCTACGCCTGATAGATCGCCTCCGCTCTGTCCCTCTCCGCTCCTCGCGACCTCGCTCACTCTCTCTCTTTCTCCAGCCTAGCTGCGATCGGAGGGCACAGGGATCTCATGGGACGCCGCTGTATCGGCGATTCTTCGATGGCTGAGCGGCCGAAGCGACTGGAAACACGGGGTGACTTGCAAACGATAGGGCAAAGCCGGCGTCACTGCTCGGAATGTGCTCCGTGACGCTGGCGTCTCTCTGAGCGATAGCGCGCGATAGCTCGAGCAGAGACCCCGGATGAACAGGACGCCTGACACACGTCGGTACGATGGCGCAAACTTTGGAAGACCTTTCGGGACTATGAACGGATTCGCCGGGGTCCTGGGAACCTAGCTGTGTACCACTACGATCACTCGCTTCTCTCCGTATGCCAGCGTCACGGATCATTGATCGGGGATTTCAAGCCGTGATTGATTAGCCGGCTGAGCGGAAGCTGCAGCGTCATTAATATCGTTACGCTGTCACGTCTGTAGCTTGCGAGTAGCAGCGGCGAACTGTGTAACAGTACCCGATCCGATTGAAACGAAATTTGCTGTACAGGTAGCTAATAGACGCGGCTGTCGGACAAAGGTCTTCCTAAAGGTCTCTCGGCGGAGCTGTCATGCAGATGGAACGAAATAAAATGGGACGAGATAGGAAGCAGAGGCAAGGAGGAAAAGCAGAAGGAAAAAGCTGTTCATTTTCGAGTTCACCGAGGTGCATCAAGCCCGATAAATCGCTGGGGCTTACGTGCCCGAGAACAGAGAGAGGGACGCGCGTTACATCGATGGCTTCTCCCGGCGAGTCGGCCAACGCAGTGTGGGTGTGAATGTGGTGAACGACCCGGTAACCACCATTCGGCCAACAGGCACAACAATTAGATTCGACCGGATAAGCCGACTCTTCCTGTAACGCGAAACTCGTGGACGGTTAGGTTCGTCGTATCTCGCGCGAGCATTGTCACGGATATTTAGCCGCGTTATTGACGTTCGCGCGTTCAGATACCACCGCACGATAACCGGCCAACGAATCCTCGAGGATTCCGACGCAGACCAGCTCGCTGAGGAGTTAATCGATCCGCCAACGATCCTCGAAAAGATCGCGTGGGAGTGAGCCGACGGGAGAGCTATGGAATCGCCAGATCGGCATCTTATCCACCGGTTTCCATGCTCCCAACTGTCGAGGAATCGAGTTTCTGCACCATTCCGACCAGAGGGATATACACGCCGGGATGATAACGCTAGCCGTGATACGCTTTTCGAGTATCGAGTTCCCGGATGATAGACTCATTTTCGGAAATAAGTACCGAGTATCCCGTTTCGAAGGCTGCTGCTGTACCGGCATGACGTTCGGGGTTGGTTATTCGTACCCGCCATTAATTTCGAGAGTTTCGCGAAACGTGGAACGCGCGAATTAAACGAAAACGCGAGCTTCTCTTGCTTGCCAGTGTCAGAAAGTTTAACGAGAAAAGCATTCTTTGGACGCGTTGTGTTTCAGAAATAAAATTGCGCAACGCAGCTTCTACCATTGCTGAGCGTAGAAGGGCTTCCAGCGTGTAGGAGTGCACGCAAGGTGTTCAAAAGCGAATTAGAATAATCTCGCGTCTTCGTGTCAGTGATTCGCTACTGACGTAGATCCGAGAGGGATCGAAGAACGCTTATGAAATAATTGCAAAAGTTGAATATTAGTGTTGAAAATAAGATCTGAAGGTATTTACAAGAATCGATCTCTTAGGAGAAACAGATGTGTCTTTGAACTGGGCATGAAAGAGGTTCCGGGAACGCGTGAAGCGTAGATAAAAACTAGGGGGCCATTTTTCATCGCTCTAGTTTTGTCTCTGCCTGCGTGCAG